TGTCAACTTGACCCTTCCAGGCTTTGAGGAAGGCGAAATCCGCCGAAACGTCAGCTTGTGCGTAAATAAAGAAATAAAATAGCACCTCGTGCTAGCTGAACAAAAGTAGAAAGATACACTAAAGAGAACCAAAAAGCACCACCAACCGGTACGACTGTGATCGCACCCTGGTGTTCCCCAGTTGGGATAAAACATCTTTCTTTTCTCCAATCAATGAAACTATTGCCTACAATTACTGCTGTGATTCGCTAGATAATAATGACAAGCAAATGTAGCTGGAAGATTATATCATACCTTACCATAGAATTAGTCTTGGTGAAATGTGTTGCAGAAGAGATATGGTGGAACAAACTGCCACTCATCCCACTTAACGTACTAATCGGGTATTCTCCCAACACCTCACCATTGAAAGACCGAGTATTTTTGAGCGGAATGAAACAAACAATCAGCATAGAAACTAGAATATTTTACAAAAGTGCGCTGACTTTAACAATCTAATCTGGTAGGTCGGATTCCAGGGAGAATTGACTGCACCAGCACTCAATAATATTCAGAAAAGCAAAAAAGCTTAAGCAATAGTCGAACGAACACTCAAAAGTTTGATTCCCTTCGTTAATAGGAGGTGGGTGCAAGTAAACGAATTTAATGCAAGAATTCTGGGACCAGGGCAACAACTTTTGTCGGTACGTAATAAATAAAGAAAAATCGAAATAACTGAAAGAAAGAAGCAGTACGATAGATTTTTTTCGAGGTCAGGACACGAGTTTAACCCAGTGTCTAGGTGTGCATTTAAGGACACCTATAACCTGTACTTAACTATACGTCTACTGCACTTAGTCGCTATAGAGGAGAAACGAATTTGTCGAAGAAAATCTAAATGTGGCGGATTTCTCCCGCAAAGTTTACCAAGTTGTAACTTCCGGCAAACAGGTAGTTGATCAAGGTTCATCGTTTTCATTGTTCACGGCAGTAGAATACATTCGTATTAGATTCTACAAGCAGCGCTCCCCACCAACCATTATCCAACTGTACTGAAGTAGGCTAGTAGGATAAGCACAATACCAAAAAATTATACCGTTCCCAGGCTTGCAGGACTTCAATGTTTTAATTCTATGGTTCTCCATACGCAATCCTGTTCTTTTTCACTTACAAAATTACCAATTATAGCATATCCTTCGGTCCAACACATTATTTTATCCAGTTTGTAAGAAAGCAACATTTTCGAAAAGCCACTTTTACTTAACGTCTGCATGAACCTTTTGACTTCTGAAGAAAGCGACGATATCGATACCTTTACTATAATAAAACCTCATATTTGTGCCCTTTCGCGCGTACATCAAAATACGCAATTTTTAAATTTTCTTTTGTGATACTGCTGAGCAGGTAATGATTAATCGCCTAAAGATGGCAGTACATGATCGAAAATCAAGTATTTTAAGAAAGCTCACTTGGGAAAACTAGCAGTATCTAAAGCAACTTGTGCAACTTTTTCTCTATCGTGAATTCATTCATCCTTTTCCTATCATGTTTGTGCATTACTCATAAGCCACCTTAAACCGTCTATTAATATCAGTGTTACAGCAGGTATTCAAAACATACAACAGAAGTCATTGTGCCGCCTAGATTACAGATTGTTCTATTATATCTTGCGTGCTTTGTTTTACTGCACTGGCACTTAACCCCTTGTATTACAATACTGGGCGCGTGTGACGTTGTGGTCGGAAGCGCTCTGCAACACACACGTGGAATCGAACCACGAGCAATTGGTCTGCCAAGCTTTTCTTCCTTTAAGGGTTGGCAAATTGGTACCAGACTTCTTTCAGAGGATAGTAGCACTGGTTCGATACATCGGTAAGCCAATGCGAGTCACTGTAAAGGCCGGTTATGCATTCAGCCATCTCCAAACGATACTTAATGAAGTCGAATGCATGGCGCATCCCTCAGGGATTGATTAACGCCAAGAGCTTCATCCTTTTTTTATTACTATGTAGAATTTCCATTTTTCCAAACCGCACCTTAACACTTTAAAGGTCTACACCACTTGGCTTCCATGTGCGCTTTCCTAAGAAAAGCACACTTTTTCTTTCTACCTCCCCTCTGTTTCTCAAAACCTCCTCATGTCCGAGTGGCGCAATTATGAAATTCTATAAACTACTTCAGGTTGTCGTAGCTGAACATTCCTGTTATACTGGCAATTTTCGAGTTATAATCCTACTGTATTTATGGCTTTTTATATTTAACTCAGCCTACTTGGTCGAGAGATCTGCCTCATTCCATAGCATGGAGGAAAGCAGCAAGTTTTTTCACCTTGTTTAAAACATAAAACCTGCCCTTTATTTTTGAATCGTGCTTTCCAAGTCTTAGCAGTATCGAGTTTTGTAGCCGTGAAACCTATTAAAATTATCCTGATCCAAATCATAAGAAACTCCAAAAAAATAGTGGTGTACTGCTTGCCTCCACATGGTAGCAATAAATATGGCAGTACAATTACAACCCGTTGAGCTGGTACAGACGCTAATCCGTGATATTTAGTGTATTGCAGTGTTTATATATTTATTTTTGCATAGCGCTTTTTCATGTATGCACAAGACATTTCGCATCTGGAAAATCTTGAAAATTATCGCTTTCCCGGTATGTAAACATCGGTGCGGTTCCATAAGTCATTTCGTAGACTACTGTCCACCTTTATTCATCATTTCCTTATTTCTTTTGATTGCGGCAAACACTTAATTGCATTAACCACCTCTAATCTTGTTATTTGTTTTGCTTACTTCCTTGTTTTCTTCTGTACGCCAAACAGTCGTAGATAAGGTGGGCCGGACAAGTAATACGTATGAATGACAACCGATGCACAAGAGCCGTTAGTGACTGGATTCCTCGGGATGTCAAACGTACTGCAGGAAGACCACCGACCCGATGGTCAGAGTTCTTCACGAAGAGCCTAGAAGAAAGATATGATGCTTGACGAGTCCCTAGAGCAGACAAACCCACTGGGTTACTCTTGTACCCGACAGGGAAAAATGGAGGATTTACTGGCGCCCGCTCGAGTCACTCGACGATCAATGGGACCACAAGTGATACTACAGGTAATACTTCCTTGTCAGCCATTTGCCTAAGCACTTGGCGCTTTTATTTTAATGGCTGGATTAGACGTATTCATTACATGTCTTCGGCAGGTTGTCTGAAAGCTGGCATGTTTTGTCCCATGTGATAAAATTACCATTCGGATCTTCGCGGCAATGAGCGTTCCTTTCAAAATGTACATTGATGGACGCTGTAGGCTATGCGTATTGATTTCGATTCGCGATTAGCACACTTTGCTCTACTTAATTTCGTTGCATTGAGCTTTTTACTACACTTTTTCACAGTTAGTCGATAGGTCATGTAAAACAGGTTGTGCACAACAGTCAAACCCATGGAATGCGACTCACAATACGCAATAGGTTGCGGAAAACCACTTTTTGGATGTACTGGTACGTTTATCTGAATTCTAAGCTTCAATGGGTACTTACTAATGTATGAGCCCATGGAAGAAGTAACTACGGGTTTGAAACCCAGCTCAGCTCTCGAGTTTTTCTCATACCTTTGCATCGTCGTGGTTGTATTTCGAATAATACCATTCCACTGGGAATGACAAAATCGCCTACACGTTCCTTTACTCTGCTACGCATGTTTTTAGTGTCCAAGAAGAAATATTTGTATAAAAGTGTGAAAGTGTTTGGATAAATACGACACCATTTACGTCGATGCTGTCAATATCCTGCAATCAAACGGAGATGCATTGTGTGGTATATTATAGCCGTGTCCAAAAAATACAACTCACATCTATTCCCAAGATGCCGACTAGTTACCAGTGATTACTCCGGCTATTATGATACATCTCAATAAGACAGCATTGCAAAAATGAAGAAAGACGTGCTATCGTTCTATGAAAACTCAACACTTCCTTTGCCTCACCAATGACGTCCCTTCAGCGAACGCTGGGACCGTTGGTCTTCTCGCGTGCAATGTTTCCGGTGAATTTTTACAATTAACTCATCGGGGGTATATTACGGCATGTAATGACGTAATTAGATGTCTTGCAGTTGTAAAAGCAGCAGGCGAAAGTGCCGTAATATTCCTTAATTAGCCAAACTGAATAAATCTTCAGAGCTACGACAAAATTATGAATAGAAAAAGAACTTGGTCTCATTTCTCTGTAAATACGGCAAACCTTACTGTATTAAATTAAGATATTTTAATTTGTGCAGTTCTAACATATTTATTGAAACGAACTCTTAATTCCACCTCATAAATTCAGACAAGAAATTACATATCACCGCGTGACGCATATACCTACGGCAGACTATGGACGACGGATTGTGCGCTCTAGGAGTCCCTCGTAGAAGTCGATAACTTTCTGAAATCATACACAAAGAATAAAAAGATATCATACTTTTAAAAACGCGAACATTAAGATACCTGTGGCGCATAAAAACGCAAAATGCGACAAGGGACGAGCTCGATGTCCCTCATGCGGATTCTTTCTGGGTCACCATAAAGCGCTAGCATTCTGGGCTCTGTGCCTCTGAGGTTAATCCCAATCACTTTTGTCACCTTGTGCCCTCGGCATACCCTATATCTTGCATCATCCACTAAACTATCAATAAATAACATTGAAAATATAATCGGAAATAAATCTTCACGAGATTAATAGGTACATTGCTGATTTCCTGGTAAACGTCCACCTACACCAGCTATTTCACTGCATGTCACATTATGGATTATGTTCCCATTGTTCTGTAGTAAAGCAAATTTTACACAGCATTTCACACTAAATATACGAATGCTCACAACTGCAATTACCAAGAAGTCTAGAAATACAAGTTCCAAATTATAACCTACATTTTCCCTTTGAGATGAACGGTTTGCGTCCCAATCATCATATCTGAAGTCGTTGAGTCTATTGAATAAAACAAACAAATAGACAACTCATAAACAGCCAACCTTCCACGTTTTGAAGAAGACTGAAGGCTTTTCTCGTTTGCTCCTCCAATATTGTCGACTTCACTCCAATGAGACTGAAACGGAGAAAAAGATTATGTGGGTACTGTTCCAGAAATCTACAGCATTAAGTAAAGTTAAACTGATACACATATGATGCTGCTCAACAAAAAATACTTTCTTAAAAATACATATATGCTATTTTTAAGGGTATTAGAGTGCTCAACACCCTCCTTAAGTAGACTACTACCGTAGAAATCAAACAGTCCTATACCAGACTCTAACAAACTATGGTCCAAAACGCACGCTTATTACTCTTCCTCCACCAAACTTTTAGGGAAGGGTATTTTATAGCTTGACACTTTATGGAAGTTTATCAGCGCCATACTCTGCTGAATATGAGATTCACCCAAATGAGACGAAAAGGCTGTGTGTCATGGCAGAAAATTCCTATCAAGTCTTTGTTATGCCGGTGCGTTTTAAGATTTTTCATCGAACATAAAGCATTCGTTTATGTTCAAAGAAAGAGATTCATCAATAGCATGAAGTTTAATACTACAGTTTTAGTGGCATAAGAAACATTTTAATAACAGTCCATGAAAGGGATGAAGCTCTCGCCGTTGATCAAACGTCGTGGAATGCGCCACGCATTCGACTTCATTAAGCATCGTTTGGAGGTGACTGAATGCAAATCTGGCTTTTACAATGACTCGCGGTAGCCTACTAATATATTGCGTCAGTGCTGCCATCCTCCCAGACAAGTCTGGTACCAATTTGTCGATCCCGGAGAGATGGCAGGATTGGTGGGCCATGGGCGCGGAGATCGATTCCACAACTGTTGCAGGGCGCCTCTGATTACTGCACCACACGCGCCCATGGTAATCCAAAGCACTGTATAATCAATTCCAATCATTTAAGGATGAAGGCGAAAACCTCATTTTAGAGAATAGGCGACTTTTCGAAAAACTCGGTCTCGGCCTCTTAGGAGAAAACTCACCTTTAGCGAAGACGTAATCCATGTACTACAACTGTCCCCACATCCCTCACATGGTTGCCACTTCACCAAAAACTCTAGCTTACCTACAATGTTGTGACTTTACACGCGAAAAAGATAATGCTTACTAATAAGTAGAAAAAAGAAATTATCTCAACAAATGAACTAACCATTACGGACACGTTCCATCAACATTTTCTCAATACGGTGATATGGATGTCTTCGTCCTGAATTACAACTATATCGGTAGATGCTAGGAAGTGAAACGACAAGGAATGGTGAAAAAGAAATTTTGCGGCCTCTGCTTTTTCCAGGAAGAAAACCAAGAAAATAAAATTAACTAAATTTTCCGAAAAACGCGTAAGCTTCGCTATTCATTTAACTTGAAAAGCACGTGATTTCAAATCATTTCAACATTGTCTATCTCAGTTCAGAGCAAATCATAATTTTGACTTATATGTACATACGAACACTCAGTTATAAAATGGTCACGGCTTCATTAAAAGGTTCTTAGGCTACCTATTTCTAGTGTTACGGTGTTTCGTTAAGATCTTCAAATACCACCTCTGGTTCATTGGCACCCTTCGAAGAAATGACGTCGACATACTATTGTTGGAAGGTACCACTAAGGCTTCCAATTTTCGCCCCAGTCAAGTGATTATGGATTCGAATACAATGCAACGACATAGAGCTTCGTCGAAATCAAGACAGAGTGGTTATTTTGGGTAAAACCCATTCCTTTTGTGGATTCCCATAAGGCGATATGAATGGCGTGATATAACTTTGCAGTTGACATAGAAGATGGTTAGGCTGGATGTGGGCGGATCCACTCCTTGGTCGACGAATTATGGGGTCCATGAATGCGAGGTTAATAGGAAGTCGATTATAGGGTCCGTTGAGCAGCCGGCAGTGATTTTCTGTACTCGGCAAAGCTTGAGCAACTGGCACGAATAGCAGAGCCCGTGATATGAGTACGGTGTATGCTAGGAATTTTTGTCGGATTTCATGTCCCCTAAATGTTTCGACTTCATAAAACTTCAATGATTCATGAGATATCGTAGTCCTTTTGAAAGGCTACTAGAGATCCATCTGGTGTTTTTTAATCTGGCGTAAGATCTTCGCTGAGGTAAGGTAGAACATAGGTAACCATGCCACCAAAGGATAAGAATTGTCGGCATTTGTGAAACCCATAAAGAAGTCGTCGGGAAGGTTTGGTGAAGTCATAGGTCTGTGTCTCTAGCCATGCACCTGGGCGCAATCTGGATTTGAAAGAAAAGATTAGCAGTGGACCTTCTCCAGAAACGATTTTGAAGGCTTGTTTGGTAAATGGGTCTCGGAATTTTTTCCAGTGGATGATGGTAGACAACTCCTCTAACGGCAAACCATACGTTGAATCCTCCAACCCGTCCTATCAGCAGGTTTATCACGTCAGCTACCGTAACGCAATTCATCGCAGTATCTTTCGTATCCAACTCATCTCCCAGTACAATTTTGCAATGCATTTTAATGTACATGTATTCTCACTAAAGCTGTTATTTTTCACATTGACATCTGTTACGTCTGGGCCCATCTATGACCTCCCTCACACATTACTGAATATATCACACATCCCACTTCCATCGAGAATACAATGTAGTTCTCATGAATTTCATCTAAAAAACCAGGATCATAGACTCCTCTTAGTATTTCCTCCGTATCTATCGGTTAGTGCTACCTGCATCATTACATGGCATCTATCTACATATCCAAGAAGTAGAAAGCGCGATAACAGTGGGTCATGCAGCAGAAACAAGTGGTTGGGCTCTGTGCACGAGCTAAATAAGCGCTCCTTTCTATGCTGTCGCAAAATTAGAGGTAGGTTTATCCAGCGATCAGCTGCCGCCCTCAAATCCAAAAAATTTGAGGATGCCCGTGATTAAGATATGTATTAGCAAGGTTCCAAAACCGCTGTACGCATCAATCCGAACAATATTCAGTAACATTCAAAAAAAAAATAATAGTGATCCTTAAATATTAATGAAACCTCCACGCAAATTGAAGACCTGGTTGATAGATGCGATGAAGGATTCGGATGTACATAGAAAGCAACAGACTTACCAAATACGCCATCACTACTTGTCCTTAATCTTGACGATAACCGAGACTTTAGAATCTCATAGTCCTAGAATAACACCCATTCACAAAATAATCTACGTGCTCGAATCCATTAAAAAGATCCGTTAGTGAGACAACATATCAGAAAAAAGAATAAACACAATTAGCACAAAATTTTTTGCGACTTTTCGACCTACCGTTTTTCACGCACATTCAGAAGTGTATTCTGTCAGTGCAGCAAAACTTCTACCAAAGCAACATTATCAGCTATTTGAATTCGAAGCGTCGCTTGCAGCGGTCTTGGGGCCTCCGATTGTTATACCTCGCTGCATTTCTCGTTTAATTTTCACAGAAAAAATATGCTATATCACTGGAAAAAAGCACTGTCGCATTATCGCGCACTTACATGTTCGTGGTATTCGATTCTTTATATTAATATCTTTATACTCGTTATGATACAGTCAGCGAGGCATAGTAAATGAGCCATGTTTTTGCCTCTTATCTGGCCCCTACTGTCTTTGTAAGCTCTTCACAGGCTGTCACCTACAGGATGGCAAAGAACTACTAACGTCCACAGAAATGCCAATTTTCCATGCGATAACGCAATGAAATCGCTAGCACCTTTCTATATCACTTCGTTATCCTGGTTGATCGTACCTTCTGACTCTTCCTTTGATCTGCATGGACAAACACAACGCTTACTAAGCCTTACTCTCGGCATCATCAACATTTTAAAGTTGTTGATAATCATATAGCGGCTATGAGTGGTTAATCTAGCAACTGTCTCAAACAATTACGTCGCCCTTTATAAGTGCTTCATAAAAGTCACTATTACCAACACATCAATACATCTACTTGTTATTGCGCAGCGCCAGATGATGTCGATATCCGTTGGTGTACTTGTGTGATGCGTGACTTGCTCTGCTTAACACTTTGTTGTTCCCATAGATCTCTTCCACACTGCACTGTCACCAAGATTTGAATTTCCATAAACTTACTCATGCCATCTGATGTGATGGTCATTCGTATCTCTACTGCTGCACCGCCACTGATGTACATTGTACCACACTTGTTGACGCTGTTACCATAGTCGCTTGTATTGCTTAGGCATCGCCATGTAATTATTACTACACTAATGTAAGTGTCATAAGATTATATATCATTATATATGCCCTGCTTGCTTCTATGTGATATGCAGCCTCTTATACCGTAACTTTCGAAATAAACCTTGCATCCCAATTCTGCTGTGCTGTTGTTGTTGTTGTATTAATGTTGCATTATGTAGATAAAAGTTCAATTACTGCGATTTGAGGCCCACCTGTGTGCGCCGCCAGCAAAACTCTCGTGTGGCCACTTGTGCAAAGGCGAGAAACCTATTTCGAGCTAGTGACTCCGACATCTAACTTGAACAGTTATATTTCTGGCGCAATAATCAATACTGAGATTATTGGTGCGCCTGCCTAACTCCTCCACTTACTTGTGCACTGGTTCAATTAATACACACACAAATAGAGAACAAAAAAAATCGTTGATATGAAAACCATGAGAACTGGAGAACGCACTTTATCAGCGCAGCAACGAAACAATGTGTGCCATCAACCAAAGGAGCACCATAAAGAGAGAATTTGATGAACACGGTCATATCTCTTCGTTAAAGCGTACTTTCTTTTCACTCAAAACGTGGCACATAGCGAAGCGTTTTGTCGTTTCGTCCAGCAGGAAGCATAGGCACTAATTCGACCAACTCCTCAACGCTCTCTTCCAATTCACGTGGGAACGCCTTAGCCCCGCTATTTCGAAGACTGCAAGGAGAATCGAGTCGAACATCATCCCACTACATTCTTAAAGAAGGTGAAGTCCTTCAGCAGCAGCCAAAGGAACATGCGAAATTTTCGAAGACCATTGTGGCCGATGAATGCGAGGAAAACAAATCGGATGCAAAACATGCTGAAGTCCACACAATAGGTGTGATGAGGGGTTATTTAGAATAAATAAAACAAGAGAATCGCTGTGATAAATCATAGTTATCACTTAACGATCGTGCGTTAAAAATACAGAAACAGACTCGAAATAAGCCTTAAAAAAGGTCGAAATAGTGAAAGAAATGTAGCTGCATGATGGAACTTAGTGACATGTAGTAAATTACAGCATATACCGCATACCTACCTTTGAAGCAACCAATAGTTTTGTCATACTCTGTGCTTCTAACTGTCAAAAAATGGTCGATTATTGTGTAAAAGCCAGCACGACCGGAACCGAAATGGAATCGGGAGTGTTCTGTGCGCTCAACAGACCAAATTAGATGTCGGTATCAACTGATTGCCAAGTGTGTATGTCTATCTGAGGTTCCAGGAAAATTTTATTCCTATTGCTTAAAAGAAGAACAACGTACACTATGCTCTAATAAAACACAGGTTGAGAACGGCTCCAGAAATCGAAGCAATTTCTTGACATCTTACACCCCCTGCAATTTATTTCCGTACCCACGAACATTTTCTGCCTAGAAAATTCTTCAACGACTTTGCAAATTAGGCGCAAACCATACCGTTTTCCTTTATAATAGAACAAACAGAACACAGAAGTGAAGCGTGTATATAAGAGCAGCTCTTGAAGTGCAGGTTCCGGCTTAGCAATAAATTTTTCCCTGAATGTAGGATTTAAACTCAACGTTTGCAGTCAGCCGTTCAGCCAGTCCTAAAGCATGGTGAGAAATCTGACCTTAAAAAGATTCCTCACCTAAGTAGACAGAATTCTATATGGAATATTTCTCGCATGCAATCAAAATTCAGACAACACGATGCTTGCTTGTAATTTTTGACCAGACTCTTCAATGCAAGCTGTATCATCGTTAGCTAGTGAATCTTCTGCAGAAACGAAGTTACTTGCTTGCCGTTTCGTCCTATTGGAGGACTTTCTCGCATCTATCATTTTACGGCTTGAATCAGCCCTATCAAACTGTACAAAATAAAAATTCTAACATCTCTATTCAACTAATGTCGTCAGTTTCTTTATGAAAATTCTGTCAACCACAGATGCTATGAAAGAGCCACTATAGTATTGAAATATTGAGCGCTTTCCCACTCGCTCAAGTCTTACACATACAATCCTTGTAGTAGAACCCATTGAACTCCCTCTTCGAATGTCACTACTGTCGGAATGTTCTTGCTGCTCTCGCTATTCAGGCAAAGGTTCAATTACTCAAGTGCGATGTTCACACCACGGGCACAAACTACCTAACGCACTACGAAATGAAAGCAATGAACAGCAACAATTTTTACCTCTGTATGTGACATCATTCTGACAATCACATCACACTATAACGCACTGTGTCGGAAACTTACATCATGGCTACATAATACAGTCGCTGCACTCAGCAGAGAGTCGTAATGATGCACAATCTTTATACTTCGCAAACTCAGTTTGCCCGAAGCCTTTAAAGATCGAACCAAATAATTTCAGAAAACAGAATAGGTGAACATCATGACTCATACCGAGGACCAACAACGAATGGACGCCAGCACACAGATTTATGAACGCTACATTTCCACGCATCGACGTAGACCTAACTTCGCAAACTTACCTGTAGTGTTAACGAATACCTCCACGTTTAAAGTTTCGTTCTTAGAGAGTAAATCAACACTTGGACACAAAAGCCGCGTGAGAATTTGCCGGAGTAATCAAAAACTGCGGCAGAAACTCAGCGACCATTCTCCCATTAAATATTTTCTTCATATTTAGTTATTCCTTGCAACAAACATCAATCAATTTTAGAAATTTGGCACAAAGGCCTTCCTACAGCCCACATCTCACAACTTAGACCTCCACGATTGCAACTTGTATATTTGGATGAGTTCTTGCTACTATACTATTTCCACCCGATGTTGACCACTTCTACAGGACTTGACGTTGCTCTTGCAACAACATCAGACTGCAACAAATACGAGATGACAAATGCTGAAGATTTGAAGCTCTACACGGTTAAACTTCTCTTCTACATTCGTTCTACATTATCATGATTGGCGGCCGCAATTCAAGGACCGACGACATGAGGACGTTTGAAAAATTTCAGGTCAATACACACGACTTTTCTCCTTAACCTGTCATTTCGACTCTAACTACAGCTCTAAAGCTCCAACGCTCTCGGAGTTGATCAATTCCTGTGGGATGCGCCATGCATTCGAGTTCATTAAGTATTGTTGGAGGCGATTGAATGCTTATGTGGCCCTTGACTCACGGTGGCCTACCGATGTATCGGGTCAGCGCTGCTATCCTCCCAAACAACTCTGGTACCAATTTGCCAACCACGGAGGGTTTGAAGGCTTGGGAAGCCATAGGCGCGAAGATTGATTCCACGTGTGTGTCGCAGTGGCGTATCCAACCACTGCGCCACGCGAGCCCTTCTAACCATGGTGGCAAAAATACCACAGCTGTTATACCGCTGCTACCAGACTCTTAGTAAAATATGTTCTAGAGATTAAGCTGGATATTAGATTCATACACCTGAAACGAGGTTATGTGTCATACAGAAAACTCCTATCAAGCTTTTGTTATGCCGGTTGTAGTTTAAGATTTTTCATTTCATTTGACATAGTGCACACGTTTGCGTTCAGAGGAAGAGATCCATCAAATACTACGTTCTTGGTTTCATGAGAAGTGATTTAATAACAATCCATAACATTGCATACTCAACTCCAAGCAATAAGAGATAAGTGTAGAAACTATTTTGTAGAGAGCGAGCAACTTTTGGAAAAGTTTTCCATTGGGCTTTTATGGAAGAAAACTCACTCTTCGTGTAATCGAAATATGTGACTGGCAGCTGTGCCCACACCCTTCACATTCTTGCCATTTGACCCGGATCTCTAGCTTTCCTGCAATGTTATGACTTCACACGCAAAGAAAAAACATTTTTTAACAAGTAGTAAAAATAAATCATGGCTACGAATCAACTAACCGTTTCGGTCTTCTGTGCGTTTTCCTAATACCTTTTTAATACGGTGGAATGGATAACCTTGACCGTCACCTAAATTATTGCTTCTTCTACAGGTAGGAGGAAGTAAACGACAGAGAGTCAAGGAGAATAAATCTTGTGAACTTTTCTTTTTCTAGGTGGGAAAGTAAATATAAAGGTAGGTAGACTTTCCAAAAAATGCGTCAGCTTTGCAATGCATTTACTTTAGGAAGCACGTGGATTCCTTCAGGGGCAAAACATGTCGTGAACCTTCCAATCTGCACGCTCATCACGTCAGCTCGTGTAATACAATTAGCCGCAGCATCCTTTGTATCGAACTCATCGCCGAACACAGTTTTGTAGTGCATTCTAGTGCACACACATTCTTATTAAAGCGGTTACTCATCATCATCACATCTCTGATCTTTCCACGCAAATACGGCTTCTCCCATACCTTACCGAATCCACACGACATATCCGCACCACCATCGATAATACAGAGTAGTTCCACAAGAATTTGGAGTAAAAAAATAGTAGAAAAATAGTAGAAATATGGAAGTTCCGTAGTCTTTCTACCACATTTGTTATAAAGCGGCACCTGCATCACTGCATAGCATCTATTTACATATTCAGAAAGTGGAAAGCTCAGTGATGGTGGTGGTCGATGAGAACGGGGAAGTGATTGGGCCGCCACCCAAGCCCATCAAGAGTCCCTTTGACCGCGGATGGAAAATTAGTGCCGATTTATTCACTATCAGCTGGCTCCCTCAAATCCAGAAAGCTCGCGAGTGTCTGTGATTAAGATACGGGAATGTACTAGCACGGCTATCCGAAGATTTCTTACGAGAGTCCACTCGACCAACATTTAAGGGCATTTGAAAAAGAAGTAAAAAGGTTTTTAAGCATTAATCGAGCCCACGTGTAATTACCAATATCTGGACGACAAATGCGGTGAAAAAATCGAATAGGCTTACTAAAGGACTTACTTGGCGCGTTAGCAGCGTCCATCTTTATCGTGCACTGAAAACCACACAGAGATTCAAATTCCTAAAATTACAACCATTAAGCAGAGCGTTGTCATAATCAGCGTGGCTTTCGTTATACTGTACTGTATAATCATCAATAACAACTCAGGAACAAAACAGAAAAAATCATTAACGACGATACTTCGTCGTTGACCATTCGGATATTTGATGATAGTAGGAGAGAGTTGCTAATGGTGAGAGACTGAGTTGTAAGCCGTGCTCCTAGTCTGCGATTCTCATGTCTCGATTTATTTCCCGTTTGAGTGCTAACCAAAAAGTCGAACATAGAGCAAAAAAACACTGTGGCACGGAGTTGCGTGCCCAATGTTCTGGACAGATAAAGAGAAAACGGGCAAAGTCTTCGCATGAAAAGCATTAAAATCCAGAGAACGAACACTGACGGCTCGACAACTAAGTGATGTGTGCCAACACGGACAGAAATTGTTAGAAGATAAGCTGATAAGGTACGTGGCACACAGCATTAACATGTGCGCAGAGAGGTGTTCACATGATTGAACCCGTCAGCGGACCAGAGTGACTTATATACCAGGTCGGATGGAAATTAACGGTGATTTTTTCGCGCTCTATTTCTCCTGGATGTCGTTTAGCAATAGTTTTTCTTTTTCAGCTTTTGGACTACTATACGTCATAACAAATCCCATTTTGTGTTCCCGTCAAGTATATTTGAACTAGAACATAAACTGCTCTTTTCACAAACTTCAAGCGTCGTAATTTCAGAAATCAAAACAGCAAATTTGACAAACTCACCTTTGAGTGGGCAAAGGAAGTGTTAACCAACGCGCAGTATTACGACAGTTTACAAAATTTTGTTGAAACACATACCAAAACTCAAACGCACCCTAGGCTCACCATGCTCGCTTTCCCTTAGACCTATTGACATTGATAGCACTGCGCAACACAAAGTGCTAAGTAGTCGCTGCGGACCAAAAAAGGCTATCTCAGAGCAACGTACTGCCTATCCGTCAAGCATGTGTCAGTAGAAAGCGGTCTTCGCAGTGGGTCGCGAAAGCGCTATCAAGAATTCTATTATAAACGCGCGCGGTGGTACTGCTACAGTACTTTTTCTCAATAGGATTTCTACGGCAGTCATGAAAGATGCATTTCATGGTCTACATCGTGGGTATTGTGGGTGCTTGTGAATTAGATGAGGCAAGAAAACGCAAAATTTGGCGTATTCATTTAAGTTTTCATGTGTTAACCGATGGTGCAGGGAAGCGCACGTGGGATTTATTGTTAGCGCCACCCCAGACTCCTAGATGTTTCGTAATCACACAGAGTTTTAGACTTATATAAATTAAGCTTTATACAAGCAAATAACTAACACAAACCACAAACAACAAAAGCACTCTCTTTCTTAGTTCTCCATTCCATGTGCAAAGCGACAATGGCTCAGAATACCACATACAGGAGCAGTACAAAGATGCTTCTTATTACAAGAGATGGAATCTCTAGACTCGTAAGCTCCTTGTAGATGGCGCTGCTTTATGAGCGATTCTTCTTTCACTCGGATAAACTCGGATCGGATTTACTCCATGCACTAAACTCAATAGCCGTTGGAGCATTTACCGAATACAATAAATATGTATAAGCGAGAAAACACATACATAAGCGCATGCATGAGTACGTTCTGATGAACACAGAAAATATATAGCATACTACCACACAAAAAAGTGAATCCGTTTTCTGGATCCACCTACATCTCAGGAAAGCACTGGGTGGCTTTTGGTCCACGGTTTAACCTCTTGTACGCCACCTCGGGACGCGCCGCGTTGCCTTGTGACTGACTAACAACCATAAGATCCCTTCAAAACTCTCGGCATGGATCCAGTCCCTGAGTGATGCGCCATGTCTTCGACCTCAGCAGGCACTGTTAGATATGACTGGATGCCAATCTGGTCTATAATGACTTTTTGTAGACTATGTGGTAGCAATTTTCCCGCCTCAATTGATAGAAGACTTGATGAACACGGGCGCGGGATCGAACATATGGGTATTGCAGGGCACCTCCAATCACTGTGCTACACCTTCCTTATGTAAAATATGGAGTATTGATAGTTGACAACCAACAATGAAATAGAAGCATTCCATGGTCCGTTAAGCACCCCAAGAACTTGATCAATTCCTTCTCCTAATCTGCGAATCGAAGATTCTCTCAACTTTCTAAGTTCACATTATATATGTATAAACATATGTATAAACATATATTTACTTACAAGCTTGGTTGCTATTCTCTATCATGAAGGCTCGTGTAGCGCAATGTTTAGAGATGGCTTAAATTCCAAACAGTTGTTGGCTCGACATTTTAACCAAGCACATCTCTTCCATCTCTCCCGGAGGCGGCTAAATGTTATATGGAAGCAAACGTTCTCTATGAAGTAATTCTTATCACTTCTGGCTGTTCCGTCACTCAAAATTCTATAAGGACATCAAAGTGCAGAAATACGGTCAAAATACACCAGATGATCAACACAATGTTTTTGGTTACAAAGAGACTTCGGTTGTGAATAATGTGTTTTATCGCGTTCAAGATTAGCACTTCTATCGCCTGATATTGCATTATTACACACATTATTGCAATTTTTTGCAAACAGTCTTTTAAAAATTTCATATGAACATAATGGACGTATATTTTTTTATGCTTGAAAAAAGAACAACGGGTGGAACCTCACTCTACCAAATTCTTTTTGACACGGCTTCATCAGCGAGCGGGTAGCAGTGGAAGTAATGACGTTCCTTACGCGGAAGATACTTAACACCGGGACAACTGAGTTGTCAACTCCTCCGAGTTGGGAAACTGCTACCAGGCTTGTCTGGAAGAAGATGAGTACCTCCAATCCACGTAGGAACACCTTGGAATAGCTATTACAGGATTACAGAGAGAATTGGCTCCACCGGAATTCAGGCATTCATAAAGAATATAAAAAAGGATAAAGTTTTCGACGTTGATCAGCATCTGAGCGATGCGCTATGCATTTGACTTCATTAAGCATCGTTTGGAGGTGATTAAATGCATATCTGGCTTTTACAATGACTCGCGGTGCCCCACCGATCTATCGAGCCAGTGCTGCTCTACTCCCTAACAAGTCTGGTACCAATTTACCGACGCTGAACGGATGGAGAGCTCGGTGGGCCATGGTCGAAGGGATCGGTTCCACGTGTGTGTTGCAAGGCGCCTCCGACCACTTCGCCAAGCGCCCTACATAAAGAAGAACAAAACAATATACAAACAGTGAAGTCACATGCAAAAAAAATTTGAACGCTTTCTTGGCTGGGGGATGTATAGAAACGTATCGAATTCAAGAAATGCTTCGACACGCACTATGTGATAATGTGATGTCGTGTCATGTAGAAATGAAATAACAACTTCCTCATCATGCATGCTCGATTTCGCTGGCAATCCTAGAGATCGTAATCACTTTCAGATCGTGGAATAATTAATACAAAGTGTTTCTGCCATATTTCCAATTACTCGGTGTAGCATGCTCTCAACAGTAGCCGTGATTAGTTCGCTGGCGATCTCGGACAGTTAACCAGAATTCACTGCTTTCTTTACACGCGAACGCAGGGTTGTTAACAACAAAATTTATTCAACACTTGCGCTTCGGTGGTTTCGACTCCTTAAGATTCTGTAAAGGGCAAGCTGACGCGCAATCTATTCAACAAAACACTTTCATAATCCAAGCTGAAGAAATTCGGTACATAAATTTCATTCACATAGTAAAGAGCTTCTTATAAACAAAGAACGCTTTGTCCTTCATGCGTCTTCCAGTTGTTCGGTGTAGATCAGGGGCACATACTCTCGCATGGGTGAGAACGTGCCTGGTCTGTGCACAATAAATTTTTTATTGTGCGAAGAAAACTAATTTGTTCTCTCTGTGGACGTTATGAAAGTGTTTGGCTGAGTAAGCAGCATGTGAATTTGACCTTTCCAGGTCCTGAAGAAGGCGAAATTCGTCGAAACACTAGCTGCTATGGATAATTATTGTAGTAACAGCCTCAGTCTCCTCATCAAGAAAACAGTGGAAAAGATCGCTGCGAACTACTAGAATGTAGGTTCTGGGATTACCTAGAACCTCTCCCTTCACCGAAATCAAAGATTTATTGATGAAAATTTGGCAATCACTTGTATGAAATCGTTAATCTCGTTTTTTGTTCTCTTCGTAGTGCCTACATTTCCTCGAGTCTGTGATGGGTTGCTAGTTTTCGAAATATTTCAGCATCGTTGTGGTTGCAATTTACATAATACCCAGCCGTGAAAAATACTAAGCAGGCAATAAAAAGTTAAACTTTACTTCACTTTATTCAGTGCTTTTTAAAACGACGGTCAAACTCAAAAAAGTCACACGTTATTCAAAACATTTTAAAAAAGTAGGAAATGCAAACGAGGGTTTGATAGGACATCACCATTCCTTGTTGCTATGCTCGCAATGCTCGCAACGAGCGCGTGTGGCGCAGTGGTCGAAGGCGCCCTGCAACACACACGTGGGATCGATCACCGCACCCATGGCCCATCAAGCCTTTCATCCCTCCGGCGTCGGCAAATTGGTACCAGACTTATCTGGGAGGATAGCAGGACTGGCTCGATACATCGATAGGCCACCGCGTGTTATTGTAAAGGCCAGATATGCATTCATTGACCTCAAAACGATGCCTAATGAAGTCGAATGCATGACGCAACCCTCACTGATTGATCAACGCCAAGAGCCTAATCCTTTTTCAGCCTTTATGTTCACAATAACTTCTACAACTCCAATAACAAATGAAAATCTTTAACCCTCCTTAGTTTCATTTTTAACTCTTCCTTTGAATAATTTCTAGTGAAACAACCCACCAAGTGGAGAACTCTCTACTACAACTGGTAAAACGAAAGCGAGCATAGCACCGAGGTTAGGCTCGAAGTACTCCAAATACTACTTCGAATCACATGCAGCATGGTCACAACACACAAGGAAAAATCGCAGCTTCCATTTGCAGTTAGTGCTTCTGCTGAGTATGAACTAAACCACTATCAAACAAAGTTTTATCAATGAAACAACAAAAAGAGTAACAAAGCCTTAGACTAGCTTCTCAAATGAGGTAATCAGAATGGTAAAAAAGCAAAATAAAGTAGAATATCGACCTATCAAGTGAATACGAAGTAGAAATTGACGAGTTATGCACAACAGCTAGCATGACATGAAAAATGTTAGGGATAAAAAAAGAAATAAGGACTATAAAGTGAACACTGTCCATAAATCACAGTAATACAAGCATATGTAGGCGTTAGAAAAGTGGGGAAGATCAACAACAATCCAATTGAGATGTACCATGTCAATCATAATATATCTCTTAAAACCGAAGCCATATTTCGTTCAGCGATGACAACATTACTTCACTAAGACATAATCGCACTCACACCCTAAAAAATAATAACCTAATAACTTATTCTCATTGGTTCAATTTGGTGTATTACAAGCCTCTCCAAATTCGACAGTATAAAATCTGCAACTAGTGGTACATGATCGCTGGGAACGTAACGATTCGGCCATGGCCCACAAGTTTTCTTCATGGTCAGCAAACCTGGAAGACTTAATCGCCGCAATAAACGAAGCTCAGGATCCTCGAGCACAAGCGCGTTCTGAAACCATGGAATAGCCTCTTGTAATAACGATGACTTGAAAGAAAAAAAAAAGGAGATGTAAACTTACAGAATCAGTAGTCAGTTTCTGCTTGACTGAATAGAATAAAAAGTCAGGATTCGCCACCTCCCTATGATAAGTGGATATCTCCTTCTAGAAATATTTTTTTTAACGCTCTGCAGAATTGAATGTAAAAGAACTCTTCAAACCAATTACGAATCTAGCGCAAATCATGGAGTGAGAAAGTTTCGACAAGTGATGACAGCTTCTACGGTTTTCATCAACACATTTAAATAAGCCACTAAATTCTTACTCTCCATGTGAACTGATTAAGGATCAGACGCAGATCTAAGCTAAATCAATGTCAACCAAACCAACTCATTGTCTTGCTTTTGTAGATCTAGTGAGTTCCTCAAAGCAAACGTTGACCTAAACATGACGGCCAAACCAGCGACTGTGTAGGTAAGGAAATTAGACTGCACTCCACCACACATTTAAATAACAAGAAAAGAATTAAAACATAAACAAAACGAAGAAGTAAAAATCTGAAACGATCAAACCTCTCCGTTCACGCTGACATGATGATATACGGAGGCGAGTCGCAATGGATGAGTGAAACAGTCAGCATTGACGGGTTCGCGATATGCTGTTAACCAACAGATGATTTAGAAAACGTGAGTGTAATGGATGGTACAATTATAATAGACGCACATTCATTATTAATAAACATGCTATCTCGACCGATATTTGTCGTTGGTGGCAAAATACGGTCTGCTTCTACGTAAGGTCCTCCAAACAGTCCTTGGCCGGATAACTCGCTGCAGTGCAAGCCTCGTAGACGTACACTAAATAAACCAAATGGTTATCACACTTTTGTAATTCATGCGAGTCTTTTACAAACCCTCTAAAGAAAGTGAAAACCTACATTCCGGAAGATGAGAAGAACTTCAATGAAAAAACTTTCTTCAAAACTCACCTAGATTCGATAATATATTTATAAATGTATGAATGTGGCTCTATATTGAAATCACCACATAGTATGACAGGGCAACGCGATTTCGTCAACTCCTAAGAAGAACTATGTAACAGACAGGTGATTCAACAGACTGTGAACTCAATGTAGTAATGGGCAATCAATTTACTTTTCCGGTAACTAGACGAGAAACTAACAGAAGGGAACTATAACAACGTTCAGCAATAGCATGTCAATTGCAACGAGAAACTCACATCTTCTATATTTGCTATAAGCATTGCAAGTTGTCCGAGTTTGATATCACCTCGTAACGGGTCGAACAATAGATGAGTATTGGCGAAAATAAACTCTTGGCGAGTCTCCTTGCTCCTTATCCGCAATATCTGCCCTGAAATTTTCATAACCAAACATTTACAGCGGTATGAACATAAGAATAAATCTACAAATATTTGATGTCAAAGTCAAACCGATTTGATCTCGATCCATAGATGTACAAGGTCCTACGAAATACTCCACAGTACGATAGCTGACGACCTCCAACTTCGATCTCCTTACAAACACTGCACATCCGTCCCAAGACAAGCCTCTTCTCCGCTTGTAGTATGCCGCATACCCCTCTAGGAATGTACAAAACACCTCAAATCATTATCCAAATATGCACATTCAAAAAGAGAACGCACGCCCTCATTTTCCACTGAAAAAAACGAAACACAAGATATGCGAAGGACTTCAGCTACTGGAAAGTTGCATCATATTCACTTCCAATTACAAGCTCAATGAAGTACTGAAACCTAGCCTGACTGATGCAATTCCAGTTTTTTCTAGCAGACACGATGGAAAATTCCTATTTTCCAAAGAAACGAGCGAGACACACTGACTGATAACGAATGAGATGGATTATACTAGAGGCACCGATTGCATCAACGGCAGCTTACATGCCAAAAGCATTTCTTCGCCGCATGCAATACACTCGCGATCATATAAACATAAACAAAATATAACGAAATGGCATATTATGGATAGGAAGAAACTTAGAAACCTTGAGACATTGAAGGCCCGAAATAACACTCAAAATGATCCCGTTGGACTTCTTGCAATCCAAAAATATCGGCATTCAAACGCAACAACTCTTCTTCTAATATTGGCCAACGATTTTCCCATTTAAGAGGTGAGTCATCCGAACTAAAAATATAACATAGAAAATTTTAAAAAATAAATATGTACATGGACCCATGTAACTCGATCAAAGAGGAATCTCACGCCGGTTAGTTACAAAGGCAACGTGGAGCGCCCCAAGTGGAGGGTAGGAGGTCTGCAATCATAAGCTACCCTGATGTACAGGTGGATCCAGTAGATGGACTCTCCGTTTCTGCTGTGCGCATTTGACACATCCTTTCTCTATTTTCGAGAGCGTATTCAAGTATGCGTGAATAGGTGCGTTCTCGTCTACGCGGATTGTATTCTACAAGTGTTCAGCCAAAGCCAAAAGCCTGCAAACAAGTGAAAATGAAGTATACGGGAGGCGGTTAGGAGTCGCATCCAAGAAATAGGCTCCATGTCTACCCTGGGAGAGACTGGCAAGCTACCCAAGAGTATACCCAATCCTCATGTTCTGGGCTGTCTAAGACACAGTAGAATTAAGTGGGCCTTACTCCCCTTACCTCGAAGGAGCCGTCGATACGACAACATCGCATTGGTAGGGTGTGGAGAGGCTGTTAGAATCCCAAGACAATTATAGGCCGCCTAAATTGCAAAGCGCGATCTGTACCTAACGCACATTGGCATCCGACTCCTCGATAGAAGGCCTGATCATGCACGGAAGAAGGATAAGGTACGATGTCATTAAACTAGCTGAGACTAAAGATACCATTTATTCAACGCCGCGTACGAAACCAGAGAAGAACTGCTCTTCGGAATATGAAACAGCAGAGGAAATGCAGACTTCGGCGGTCCCGTTAACACGAGTTTGGCCATAAACGTCGACTCAAAATCCGAAGAAGACGTTGAAGGTTGAAGAGATGTGGGTGGGTCAATAGCAGCTTTTACAATTTCCGTCCTTTACGCACAGACACCAGCATATGTCGAAGACGAAGTCGAAACGTTCTCTGTGAATTTGTAGAGGTCTACAGAGGAGACTATACATTCTTCCCGGTCGTCATTGGAGATTTCAACGGTAATATTGGACCCAGAAGAACGTTACATTGGGACCAATGGATTGTAATGGTACAAAAAGGGCGAGTGACTGTTTGAGTTCGTCATGACGACCAAGGCAATTCATGGTAACTCGAAATTCTAGAAGCACCGCTCTCAACACTGATGTGAGAGTATCCTAATGGAGAATATCACAACAAAACAGATCACACAATTGTAAATCAAAGGTTTTGTATGACATGTGTCATTGTTGTCCTAAAATTCCAGACGGTATCAGATCATCGCGTTGCTCGTGTAAGATTTCATTTCTCGTCAAGAAAAAATAGCGGATAAATTCAGAAAACGAAGTCACAAAACCTTCACAAACTCGGAATTATTCAGCTATTTAGTCCGTCGATGGGGAGATGCATAACACCGATGTGGAATACGACCGGCTCATTCAATATCTTCCCGTTAGCGCAATGAAAGATTACAGTTCGAAAGTCACCAAGAGACGTCTGTCTGCAGAAACACCCGAGCTGATTCGGCAGCGTGGAACCGCACGAGCTGCAGGCAACCGCGAACGAACGTCCGAGTTTGCAAAACAATGCAGAGAGGCGATGAAAGAAGATCTTAAAAAGAGAACAGCAGCAGTAATAGTCGAAGCTAAAGAGGCTGGGAGAAGCATTCGCAAAGCCCACCGAAGCTTCGCCAATTACAAGACCAAAATGATTGCACTGCGACGCCCAGACGGAACAGTTACATCGTCCAGAAAGGTAATGGAGAAAATCATTCACTAATACTACTCAGATCTAGTCGATACCCATGTCTACCTTCCGTGTAATGAAATAGAGGAGGATGGATATGTTGTACCACCGGTTCTCCCTTCCGAAAACCGACATGCCATTTCGTCGGTTAAAAATCGAACAGCACCAGATCCGGACTGGATAAGATCTGAACACCTGAAGAACATTCTGCCAGTCCTCGTAAGCACACTGGCCCGGTTGTTCAAACGCTACCTGTCTGAATGCAAGGTCCTTACTCAGTGGAAAACTAGCAAGACCGTGTTATTGTTCAAAAAGGGTGACTTACGCGATATCGGCAACTATCGCCCAATCTGCCTGCTATCTGTAGTCTACAAATTTTTACTCGAGTTGTCCTAAACAAGATTGACAGAACATTGGACGAAGGATAGCCATGTGAGCAAGCAAGGTTTCGAAAAGGATTTAGTACGATGGATCACATCCACACGATAACAAGGCTCATTGAAGTATCGCAAAAGTACAAAAGACCGCTCTGTCTCACTTTCATCGATTTACAGAAGACCTTTGATTCAGTTGAGATAGAAGCAGTCTTGCAAGCCCTTGATAGTCAAGGAGCCCCTACTCAGTACGTAAAGATTCTTCGTAAGCTGTACAAAAAGTTCACAACAAAGGTATCACCGTTCTGCAACGATATTAATGTTAATACATTGACGTCAAAGGAGGAGTAACGCAAGGCGATACCATTTTGCCAAAATTATGTACCGCCACCCTCCAAAACGTCATGCGAACATTTGAATGGGAGTAATATGGGAGTGAAAGTCAATGATCGGCAGTTACATCATTTTCACATTGCTGATGACATTGCCCTTATAACACCAAACATTAGCCAAGGAAAACGCATGTTTGCCGACTTTGATAAAGCCTGTGCAAAGATTAGCCTTCGACCAAATCTCACGAAACGGATTGGTTTCGCATACGCCATTCACGCTCAACAGAACGAATATCTCCGAATGCTAAAGTTATGTCTATCTAGGTAGGGAATTCAATATGATGAACGACTTAAGTCCAGCGCGGAGCAGAAGAAAACGAGCGGCCCGGGGCGCTTTGAAGATAACCGAAGATGTGGTGAAAAGGACAAAGAACACCCGACTCCGTGCCCACCTTTTCGGCTCAACGGTACTTCCCGCCCTAACGTATTCCGTCAGAAACCTGGTCGATGCGTAAGCAAGATGAAAGATCACTCAGCGTTATCGAACGCACAGTCGAAAGTATGATGCTAGGAGTATGCCGTGTCACGCAAGTAACGAATCCGATGCTCCGACCTGCGTCAAGGATCGAAAATCAAAGGAGCTCTTTTGTACGTCAAACAGTCGAAAATAAGGTGGGCCAGACACGCAATGCGTATGAAGGACAACCGAAAGACAGGAGCCCCATTAGTAACTCGATTCCTGGGGATGTCAGGCGTACTGCAGGAAGACCACCGACCCGATGATCAGAATTCTTCACGAAGAGCCTAGAAGAAAGATATGATGCTCGACGAATTTCTAGAGCGAGCAGAACCCACTAGGCTACTCTTGCACGCGAGAGGGGAAAATGGAAAATCTATTGGCGCCCGCTCGAGTCACTCGATGATCAATGGGACTGAAGATGATACAGGTGGTGTTTTAAACCTATTTCAATTATGTTTGCGGAATGTCTCTTGAAAAATGAGTTTCCACCGAACCATAGAAAAGGGTAAATAGGAACAAAGAACAGCGATACAACAAGAACTCAAGCTTACCTTAAGTGTTCGTAAAGAAACTTCCTATTCACTGTTGTGATCTGGCACAGAACATTATAACTACAAATTCGAATCACTGTTTTTAAATTTTTCGGAGATGGTGGAACCTAAACAGAGTGAGCAAAAGAAAAAACGATAGACAGATATGATTACTACAAAGCATAAAGCATTCGGCGTTTGATCAATCTATGAGGGCTACGACATACATACGACTCCATTCATAGCATTTCAAACGTATTTGAATAAAGTACACAATAACTTCCAGTAGCTAATTAATAAATCAGTTCAGTGCTTTTATCCTCCCAGATAAGTTTGGTAGCACTTTCCCACCCCATGATGAGATTAGTGCATATTTTTGCCCAAGTACGAGATTGAACCAACAACCACGTGTGTGGTACATGGCACCTCTAACCAGTGCGTCATCCCGCCCCTAGTTTATGACATAGACCCAAACATATAATAGGGTGAAAATAGCGAAACAAAAAATATATGAAGCCTACGGTGTATTCTTCCCAAAATCGGGCAGCTTCACCGTTCATTTCCGTCGTAGCTTTCGACAGTGCATCTTCTTGGGAGGGTTTGCGTTTTAAACCCACAGGTGTCTATAAAATGTGTATTAAAGACAACGTCACCCTGAATCTTCTTCAGTGCTCATACAACCCCACACAAAGACCATGTTAGCTAAACCCTTATCTCAAAGCAGGCGCTGTAGTCTATTAATGAATGAATATTTAAGTGGTTCAGCAACAAACAACAGGTTAGAGCACACTCTTTTCCAACAGCTAGTTTTTTGCGACCTCAGCTGAACAAGGTTGAAATGGTGATCGGCAATACTCCTTAATTCTCGCGCAGTACAATATCTATTGAAACATCAAGAACGGTATTCCAGACATAACATCGCTCCAGTAGACTGCCTCCAACTAATCGGAACTAAGTAAAATGCGCTAACCACTGGAAACTTTTTGAATTTTCTGTCCATCAACCTGGAGCACTTGGACTTTGATGTTAAAAAAAAAAGAAAAACAGTACCGATAATCTAGATCTCATAGTTCTCCTTGCCGGTCTTCGACGTTTCCCAAACTGAAAACAAAACTCCAAGATTATAACACAAAAAAATTTAAGGAATATCAACGTCTCCATCAATGATTTCATATAGTTGCTATAAGAATAGTTAAAGTGGAGTAAATGACAATAGTAAATATAAATAGCATTATCATATATTTGTTTTGACAACTGTTTTCACATTTTTACTTTGTTTATTTGGAGTAATGATTGGCCCTGTGGCATTCCTGTTAACCTCAACTCCTCGTTTATATTCATTCTGCAATAATTTTCAGCTTAGTCAAATTTATCTATAAAAAATATTTCAGTTACAATAGACGTGAAAACTTTCTTGAAAGACTTCAACGCCAGAATAGGAAAGGCCAACGAGTGCGAATATAGGATAGGAAATTTTGGATTAGGAGAAAGAAAAGGGAATGGAAACCGTCACGCAGGACTCCTGTCCGCAGCACGCCTCTTCCATAGAAACTCGTTTTTCCGGAAGAAAGCCG